TACTGATTCGCACTCCTCAATCTTCTCTTCAAGCTTACAAGTGATTAATCCAAAGTTGACGCGAGATAACTATCGATTTTGGAGGTCGCAAGCTCGTTCTACTGTTGGAGCTCATGAGTTGGAAGAACACCTCACAGGTTTAATTCCGTGTCCTCAACCTTTAATTTCATCAAAAAGTGAAAATTCCTCTGAAATAGAAAGTGCTCTGTCAAAAAACAACCTAACCAAAAGCAAAGTCAATCCTGCGTATATTGCTTGGAAATGAACTAACAAGTTTTTAGTTACTTGGTTACTTGTTTCAATCTCTGAATGCATGTTCAGTTGTATATCAAAAAGTCAGCTCTCATCTGAGATTTGGTTTGCTCTTGAGCGAGAATTCCTAAATGATTCTAAAGCCAGAGCTCAACATTTGAAAAACCTATTACAAACTACACAAAAAGGCAATTTAAGCATTAGTGAGTATGTTAAGAAGATGAAAAATATAGTAGAAAGTTTATCTGCTAGTGGTCCAGTTATAACTGACGAAGAAGTACTCCAGTATGTGCTAGACGATTTGGGACCTGAAGTTGATGCAGCGGTGGTTAACTTGACTTCAGGCTTGAATCCAAGTTTGATATAGTGACACTTCAAGAAGCACAGTTCTTGTTACAGAAGTATGAACTGAGGTTAGAAAAGTTTAATTCTGTTGATTTCTTTGCTAGTTCTATCCACGTTGCTGCTGTGAGTAATGCTGGTCTTAAGCCAACCTTTATCAACACCAATAATTCTTCAAATGATCCTATAAACACTTCAAGTTCCTCATCTCAATTTCCTCCGTCCCTAAACACTTTATCCAGTCCATCTTTTGCTCAACATTGTCCTTTACCTGCTCTAGTTCCCTCTGTCCATTATGGCCAATTTTTTCAACCAGCATCTTCTAATCCTTATGGTGCTTCAACCGTCTCTTATCAACCTACTGGATTTATAAGTTCTGGACGAGGACGAGGAAGAGGTAGAGGAAATGGTAGAGGCAGACCGATTTGTCAACTGTGTAGTAAAATTGGACACACTGCTGTGCAGTGTTATCATCGGTACAATTCTAATTACAATGGTGCCCCTCCTCAGTACAACTCAAATAATCATTCCATAGGTGTTGTAAATGGTGCATCTCCACAATTCAGTTCTACCAATCACTCAATTGGGAATAGATCTTTCAACTCCAGTGAGCAACTTAATGGATCTTTTACCAGTCCAAACAATCAAACAATACAGATCCCTTCATAGCAATTTCCACAGCCGTTACAACCTAGCTTTGTCTCTTTCAATACAACACAACCACATGGCAACTATAGTGGTCTTAACCATCAGCAACAGCACTTTACCTCACCACCACAAAACCTCATAGTTCCAAGCCAGCAGATCACAACACCAACTCAAGCCTACTTTGCCTCTCAACAACCTTCACCATTTAACTCACAGCTTTCATCCCATACACCTGTTGCATCAAATTCCTACACAACTGCTCAAGATCCTGCCTGGTATATGGACTCCGGGGCTACGGATCTTGTCACTTCTGACCTCAATCAGTTGACTGTTAGCAGAAACTATGGTGGAACTGATCAGCTAGGCAGTGGTGAGTTCCTTGATATCTCACATATTGGTTTTACTTCCTTACCTAGCTCTTTACACTAAAAATCTGCTCAGTATATCTAAGTTCACTAAGGATAATAATGTTGTTGTAGAATTTAACTCTGATTGTTGCATTGTTAAGGACAAACTTTCCAGGGTAGTGTTACTGCAGGGAGAACTTAATGTTGGACTGTATCAGTTGAGACTTCCTTCTATCAGTCCTCTACCTTCCTTTGATCAGTCTACTGCACCTCTTAAATGTCAGAGTTTTGTCCTATCGATTGAACCTACCAAAGTAACTTCTACTGAACCCGAGTCTGCTGTTATTGATAATGAGCCTATAGGAAGCTGTGTTAAAACCTCCAGTCTTGTATCTTGCAATAATCCTGTGTCTAGTCTTAAGAATAAATCCANAAATTTTTAACTTAGAATACACAGGAAATCTACTGTAAAGAACTTGATATGGTGACAAAAAATTCAAAATTGAGGTAGGCATTCTATTAATAAGAAACACAGCAATGTCAAATGCACACCACCAAAAATGTAAAGGCATAGATGCATGGGCTAGTAAGGTCAGGCTTGTTTCTGCTATATGTCTATGCTTCCTTTCACTTCTCCCATTTTGTTGGTGGACATAGGCACAAGAATGCCTAAGCTGGATTCCAGCAGTGGTAAGATAAGGCATTAGACCCTTATACTCTCCTCCTTGGTTAGACTATAAGATTTTGAGTTTATAGCCAAGTTGTCTCTCAACTAAATGGTGAAATTTGATGAAAGTAGACTGAACTCTAGCTTTGGTTCTTAAGGAAAACATCCAGGTGAACCTACTGTAGTCATCAATGAAATGAATGTAGCATTTGAAGCCTTCTAAGGAAGCTACTTGTGTTGGTCCCCAAATGTTACTATGAACTATTTCAAGTGGCTGTGTAGCTCTAGAGATTGAACTAGGAAAGTGATTTTTGTGTAATTTTCCTAATTTACATGCATCACAAAAACCTAATAATGAGACAGGTTTTGAAGGTCGTGGATGAATGTTAGGTAAGATTTTACTTAATACATCAGCATGAGGGTGGCCTAAGCGATTATGCCAGAGGGACAGTGTATTTTTCCTAGTATTACTAGCTTGAAAAACTATAGGATGGGTTGTGATATGATGATGGGGATATGTGTCAGATTTTCTAACGGCAACATTGTGAACAAAAAGAGATTTAGACATAGCAGAATTTTCATCAACATTAAACATAGAAGTAGGATTTGCACCAACAGAAACCATAGAAGCAGAATTTGCATTATCATTCAACACATAAGCAGAATTTGCATAAACATCAACCATAGAATTTTCATCAATATTCAACATAGCAGCAGAATTTGCATTAACATTAATCATAGGATCTTCATCAACATTCAACATAGAAGCAGGATTTGCATTATCATTAACCATAGAATTTTCATCAACATTAAACATAGAAGCAGGATTTGCATCAGCATCAACCATAGAAGCAATATGCAGAACAGAACTAGAATCAGATTTATGTTCCAAACATTGTGTCTTATTAATGAAATCAGGAGTACAATCATTTGCATATGAGATAGGACTTTGAGTACTACGAAGTAATTGTGGATCTTGCAGCCTATGATTGTGATTAACAACATCATTCATTGGATTGCTAGACAGTATATTATAGTTGGCATTAGCATCTTGAAAATTATTCAGAGAACTAATAGACTGAGGCAATCTATGACTATACTGACTATTAGTACCTACTGACTTATTTGAAAACAAATTATTACAAAACCTAGAACTCAAAGCAGTTGACTTTTCTAGACCACCAGAAGTGTAACCAGAGGAGAAGCAAGAAGGTATGTGCAATTGGTACAAACCAGCCTTAAGTCCTCCATGCAGTAACACTACCTTGGTAGACTTGTCCTTAACAACACAACAATCAGAGTCAAATTTCACAGTTACTTGATTATCTTTAGTGAATCTAGAAATCCTAAGGAGATTTTTAGTTATTCTAGGAACACACAACACATTGCGCAAATGTAAACACTTAGAATGAAATGAATTGGGAAATAAAGTAGAGCCTATATGAGATATATGGAGAGACTCACCGTTACCAACTTGTAGTTGCTCAACTCTATCATAGGTTTTGCTGGAAATTAGTTGAGTAGGATTAGGAGTGATATGATCAATGGCTCTTGAATCCATGTACCAGGCTGGATCAATAGGAGCAGTAACTGGGACAGTCATGTGTGTTTAAGGATAATGGTTTGAGGAAGGTGGTTGGTTAGACACAAGAAAAGCTTGGTTAGGAGCTTGGTTGGGAATTGCATTTTTGTAGGAACTTTGCTGACTAGGGATATGAAACCCTTGCTGTTGATGAGTAAGAGATGGATTGCCTTGCAGATTAGTGTATTGTTGTTGACTGTGCAAGTTGGAATTCATAGTTGACTGAGATGATGAATCATAAGATCCATTAGTGGGAACAATCACATGCTGACTTCCAGAATAAGAACTATACGGACTGCCAGTATTATAATGCTACTGATTTCCAAACTGAGATCCATAAAATCCATTGTGAAAAGCTGGACTAGAACCACCTTGTCCTGACATGTTACTTTGAGGAAGCACACCAGTGTAAGTGGAGTTGTAGCGATGATAACAGTGAGCCGCTGTATGGCCAATTTTGCTACAAACTTGACAAATAGGCTTGCCTCTACCATTACTTCTTCCTCTTCCTCTCCTAAATACAGGTCTGTATGAAGAGTAAAAATGGCTTGAATTTCCACCATAATATCCAAAGTTTGATCCAGTATCATTAGAGCTGAACTGAGGATAATTCTGAGATCCTATGGGAGGATTAGGTAAGCCTTGCAGTTGAGACTGACTATGTGTGACCAAACCAAAAGTACCAGTAGGTGCAGAGGAAACTTTAGCATTGATAGGCAACGAATTTTGACTAGTTAAATCACTTGAATTCTCAAGAGAAGTAACATTAACCGAACCTCCATGAAACTCTATAGAGTTAAACCTATCAAGCCGCAACTCATATTTCTGCAACAAAAACTAAGCCTCTTGCAAAGTAATCGGATCAACCTTAGACTCTACCCTGGAGGTCAGATTGACAACAACAGCGTCAAATTCTGGACCTAAACCGTCTAAAATATGTTGAAGAATTTCTTTATCTGAGATCACTTGACCACTCGCAGATAGGCTTTCAGCAATGCCTTTCATTTTCTTAACATACTCATGAATATTCAAATTGCCTTTTTGAGTTATTTGAAGCAAATTCTTCAAATGTAAGGCTCTGGCCTTTGACTCAGTTACAAACTCAGCTTCTAACTTAAACCATACTTCAGATGCAAACTAACATTTTGCAACAAGAGTGAACATGCACTCAGAAATTGAGGCGAGAAGCCAGCTAACAAGGAACTTGTCATGTTTGTTTCCAAGTTACATAAGCTGGATTCAGCTTTTCTTTAGCTAGGGTTTCAGACGATTTACTATCACTCAACTCAATTGAACAAGAAACAGAGCTAATAAAGGGAGCTGGACTGGGAATTAAACCTGTCAAATGTTCTTCGAGTTCATGAGCTCCTATAGTGAAAAGGACTTGCGATCACCAGAATCAGTAATTATCAGTGTAGCTATCTCTCGTTAGTTTGGGAGTGATGACCTGAAGACTTGACGAAAAGATTGAGAGCGGAGGATTAGCTGAAACATTTTACATTTTCTCCATTGAAGCTGAGAAGAAAACAAAATCAATTGTTCAGATCGTTGCCGTCGACGCTTGTCTTAGGCTCTGATACCATGTGAAACTGAAAGAGAGAAACTGAGAAATCGTGAACTCTTCTTATTAATTTTTCAATGAGATACACTTTACAATAATTCGTTTGTTTATATACAAAGAGAGAGAGAAGACAAAATGCTGAGAGTAAACCCAGCTCAATGATAAACTAAAGAGTAAAGTGATTCTTCTCAAAACGACGCCGTTGTTTCTTTTGTGGAGTTGCAGTTTTACGAAACTGCCCTCTTTTCAATCTGGCTAACAGTGGCCTCTCAAAGTTGAATCTACCAGTTAGCTTGTGGATCTATTACACATATACTTGTTGAATAATGATGGACATATAAAGTCATATAAACTAATATGTACAAGTAGATATGACAAGATGTAATTAGAGAGAAATCTAAACATAAATTAAACAAATTGAAGTGAATAAAATAGCAATCATGAAGCAATGTTGCATCAATTTGTATGTATAGCATTACTCATACTTGTTTAAAGGTTATGTGGTATATATTCCTAATTGTATCTTTGGGTATATAAATGATATTGGATTTAACGTCTTAATCATCTATATGTCAAACATATGTTCTGGTTCAGAACTTGTGAGAAATTCTCTTTTACTTTCCAAATTGTATACTTACACACATTGAAAAAGGCCTTAGCTAGTAACATAGCTGGAAATTTATGTTAGTTTGGATTATGTTACATGCAACAGCCAGGTCAATTTTAGGTCGGGCATTTTCTATGGTATTATGATATCTAGGACCTTGGTGGCTTTAAATATCTGCACTTCAAGGACAGAAGAATAACAACTTTGTTAACTTAATGGCGGTAGCACTATAATGTCTTTGTGTTTGCTTCTTAAATTTGATTTTGGTTCAATATTCAACCACTCTTGATTTAATATAATTTCAAATAATAATTTAGTGAACTTAAAAAGTATTTGCTTCAGACTTTCAGGGCTATGCAAAACCTTCACGTCTGTTGCCAGCCACAGAAGTTAAAGTCTGCACTGAAACCTCATTAGAAAGGATTATTTCATCCTTCAATGTCAGTGGATCTCAGTCTTTATTTAAGGTCAAGATAGAGACAAGTAATATCTATGGCTCAAGTCTGAGTGATTTAAATGCTAGTATACTCTTCTGCATGATAGACGAAGACGGTAACTCAATATTACAGAGGATACCACCAAGTTTGGTGACTGATCACTTTGCCAAGACAAAGGACTCAGTTGATTCTAATATTGTCCATTTCCAGAGAGGTTCTTCGGATGAGTTCATCTTTGAGGGACCTAGACTGGGAAAAGTTGAAGCTCTTTGGATCAGTCTGGAATCAGGTTAGTAATCATTATACAAATGATTCGTTAATTTGCAGCTACGGTATAATTTTTGAGAAAGTTGCCACATTAGTCTGTTTAGCATGAGTTCAACATTTCTGTCAATGCTTGACTGGAATTTTGAATGACTGGTTTACATTTTCTATCTTTTTCATTTCTATGGTCAAGTCAGTGGAGATTAGGAGGTGTGAGCCTGACAGTCATTAATGCTTCTCAACCTTTACCAAAAGAAGATGATGGAGAAGAAATCAAGTATACTGTTTACTGCTACGACTTTGAAGTTACCGACATCTTGCTCGGTGAGGGAGGCGATGCATCCATGGTGGAGATTAGACCTTTCAATATAACCAGTGGCGGACCCAAGATTTTTGCCCGGGGGGCCTCCGCAGTTCCGCCATTGTTTGTCAAACAACTAATGAAAACTTTAAAAAAATTAACAAACCTTAAGCAAATGATATAATACAATATCAATAATCTGAAAGAAAATAATTCAATAACATAATACTTTACTACTTGAATAAATCTATGAGAAGCAAAACCTTGAGCAAATTATGTTGAAAATAACATCCAATTCACGAGGAAACACAAGAAATTTTTTACGTAGAAAAACCTTTTCAATTAAAGATAGCAAAAGACCACGAGAATCTAAGGATTTACTTAAAATCCAATATAATTAAAAGAGTTTACAACAATCACAATCCACAAAAAATGTTCTATACAAATTTCTTAGTTTTCCTCTTTTTTTTTTTTTTAATTTGTTTTCGCTCTCAAAGATTATAATATAAATTTTCATGACTTTGATTAGGCTTAGCCTAAGCTAAAGTCAATCAAAACTTAAATTAAGTCAACGTTGCCTTGACTTTTAATATGAATTAATAAAAACGGGGAATTTTTTTTAGTATAAACATAGATAATAACTCAAACTTCTTAAATAATTTTCAGCAACCAAACGGTGACGTTTGAAATGTAAGAAAGTGATGGGTGAAGGATGAAGAATAATATTCAGTAAAATATAGTTAAGGTTTAATTTGGGAAAGCATGAACATTCTTAAACACAAAACACAAAACAAACTCACAAGATCCATGCCTTTTTCCATCAAATTAGAATAAAAAGCCTTCAAAAAATAAGCATGATTCAACCCTAAAATAAACTAAAATGAAAAGAGCAATACACATACCTAAAACTGATAAAACAAAAAACGAAACTAATTCTGGCACCTTGATTAGTGAAAGCTTCAATAATTTTAGTCCTCAAAAGTTTTAAGAATGAATAACATAGGGAAAGTGAAAGAGAGAATGAGAAAATAAAGAATTTTAGGGATAAAATCATAAAAACAGGTGGATATAGAAAAAAGTGGTGAGTTTTAAACTTTTAATATGATGTAAGCTTGAAATATATATATATATATATATAACAAGTTTTTTATGAGTCTGGATGTATGTATAATATTTCTCATTTTCTTTTTTAAATCTGAAGGTAGACCAGGATATATATATATATTAATTGAATTTTTTGTGGCCTATATAAACATTTTTTTATAAAATGTGAGGGTAGGCCCAAGGGGCTGGGTCCGCCCCTGAATATAATTGAGTTATCTGGGTTGATCCATTCAACTTATTAAGTAAAAGCCTTTGGCAGTCGACTCCACTTTTGAGTGGTGGGATATCTAATGAGGAAAGCATGAAGGAATATGCAGTTTTGAAATTCTCTTTGTTACTCTATGATGCCATTCTGATCTTCATTGGTACATCAGTTGCATCCTTCTCAGTTGGTGAGAGTTCTGCTTTTGTGTTCTTAATTCGTGGGGTGAGAGGTTTTTTGTACTTATTGCTATTGCAGAGGTCCATTGATGGATTACCAACTCCAGCATTGCGTTCCAATAACCCAGGAGTGTAATAGCTGCTTTCTACTCATATACTCATAAAAGATACATAATGAAAACACATGGAACATAACATAACTAGTTGGGCCCAAAATTTTCTTTCATTAAACATATATATGTATATAAATATTCTTTACAAAAAAATTGTATCATGGACAAAAGTGATCAAAAACATGGTGGATAGTGTAGCCATTTCCCTTCACTTGCTGACGCCCACCCGACCGTGTCCTTACCTAGATCCTGCAAAACATAGGAAACAACGGGGTGAGCACTAAAAAAATGCTCAATAAGTAAATCCTCTACTCATCTAACCCCGTAACTCTCTCTAATTCTTTCTTTACAATTCTCATTTACTCTTTCTCTTATACTTCTCTCTGTTTTCTCTTTCTCATAACTCTTTTCTACTCACTCTCTTTAGTAAGTCATGGCCTCATCTTACTGGAGACACGGCTGGGACTCGCTCCCGCTCTACGTGACTTCTACTCATTCTAGCCGATCGGACTCGGTTATGCATGGATTCGGAACCCTTGGCCATGTGAGTGTATAATCTCTTTCTCGGGTACTCTCGGGTATAGCCTTCATCCGCATGCACTCTCACGAGCTACACCACTTCTCTCTCTCATACTTATGCCGCTCTCTCAATGCGGCGTCAATGCGGGACTACTCTACCTATTACTCACGGGCTCCCCATCACACAACGTACTCTGTTCTTTTTTCTCTCTTTTATTCTCTTTACTATTAGAGTTGCTTATTCTCAACATTCTCTACTCTTTCTCAAACTAGTACTCATAGTGTAACTTATACTCAAAAGTCTTGACTCTCTCTCAAGCTATTACCCAATACACAATTAATGCACATGGGTAGTTTATGCTCATTAATGCAATTAGGAAATGCGAATATGCAATGTTGCAAGAATTAAGGGTCACAACTCATGCTCATACTTTTCTTAGGCATTTCATTAAACAATTCATGTGCATACAAAAACTTTACTATAATTACTACTCTACTTCATTCTCTAGCCATCCAAAATGGAAGAAGACTCCCTCATATAACCATAATCCCTGTCAAGAAAGGCACTTCCAAATAGGTTTACACAACATCTCTCAAACTTCATCTCAAATTCCCTCTCTCAATACACATTAAAACACTTCTTCCAACAACCATAAAATAGATAGTCATCTCAACTCAATTTCTCAACAAGCATAACATACTTATACATGCATGCATCTATACTAAATCTCTACTCATAAGTTTATTCAAGTCTCAACTTGGTTGGATTTACTTACCTTGCGAAAAAGTGACTTCTCTAGCACTTTTCCTTCCCTTTGTTGTCTTGTCTTCTCTCTACAACTCAATACAACAACAACAACAACCATATAAGACTTCAATACAACTATAAGCAAACATCTACAGCAAGAATCCTTACCTTAGGATGCTTTAGATGAATCCACGCAAAAGCTCTCTTAAACCCCTTAGAAATCTTAGGAAAATTGAAAGGAAATTTTAGAGAATGGGTATGGCGGTGGAAATTAATGAAATGGAGGGTTTATTTCACCTAACCCTTTCTAGCTCATAAGATAACCATTATTTCCCAATTTGCCCTTACTCTTCCTTGGAAATTTCATCTATATTCTTTGATTCATTTCACTCACACCCCCACACTAACCTATTCTCCATGAAATTCACTCACATTTTACTCCCCACTTTTCTTGCTAATTAGGGGTAGAATGGTCATTGTGCCCCAAAGGAAGAATTCCCTAGAAACCTCATTAAACTTTTCAACTGGCTCGTCGCCGCGGGCAAAGAAACTTCCGTCGCCCTGGCAAAAAGTTACAGAGTCGACACTGCCTTACTCAAAGCTAACGTCGCTGCGGTGAAGACTATTCTTCGCCCCGACGAAGACTGCAATTCTAAGATTCCTCAAAACTCAACCAATTTCACGGCAAACACTCAACCAACTCAACATACAGACTCAATTAAAACCGAATCAATGAACATTTAAGCAATACAGCAAATCTTAAGTACGTACCTCAATGGGGCATTACAAGGAGGAAATGTCTGTTGACCAAAGATTCATGGTGCTAACTGCAAGTTCTCAAAATGTGAGGACCTGAATGAAGTTTCACAAACGATGTCGTTTCACTTTAGTTGTAAAAGTCTTCTTCTCAAAACGATTATTCAGTGTATGAGCTGCTGTAACTTTACTCTTCTTCACTCACTCTCTCACTTATTTCCTTCAAGTATATAAGCAGCCACAATGTATTGTAACTAGTTAATCAATCAAATACAAAGAATTATTCATCTTAGAATCAAGTTTTATCTTTCTTTTCTTTCAATTTCACATGGTATCAGAGCCCTAGACTCACGTCAATGGCTGATTTTTCTGGTGTTAATCTCTCTACAAATAGCATGAATAAGCTTCAAAATTCCACTAATTCATACTCAATCTTCTCTTCAAGCTCACAACTGATTAATCCAAAGTTGACGCGAGATAACTATCGAGATAACTATCGATTTTGGAGGTTGCAAGCTCTTTCTACTGTTGGAGCTCATGAGCTGGAAGAACACCTCACAGGTTTAATTTCATGTCCTCAACTTTTAATTTCATCAGAAAGTGAAAATTCCTCTGAAATAGAAAGTGCTCTGTCAAAAAACAACCTAAACAAAAGCAAAGTCAATGCTTGGAAACGAACTAACAAGTTTTTAGTTACTTGGTGACTTGCTTCAAGCTCTAAATGCATGTTTAGTTGTATATCAAAATGTCAGCTCTCATTTGAGATTTGGTTTGGTCTTGAGCGAGAATTCCTAAATGATTCTAAAGCCAGAGCTCTACATTTGAAAAACCTATTACAAACTACACAAAAAGGCAATTTAAACATTAGTGAGTATGTTAAGAAGATGAAAAATATAGCAGAAAGTTTATCTGCTAGTAGTCTAGTTATCATTGATGAAAAAGTACTCTAGTATGTGTTAGACGGTTTGGGACCTGAATTTGATGCAGCGGTGGTTAACTTGACTTCACAGCTTGAATCCAAGTTTGATACAGTGACACTTCAAGAAGCACAGTTCTTGTTACAGAAGTATGAACTGAGGTTAGAAAAGTTTAATTCTGTTGATTTTTCTGCTAGTTCTGTCCATGTTGCTGCTGTGAGTAATGCTGGTCTTAAGCCAACCTTTATCAACACCAATAATTCTTCAAATGATCCTATAAACACTTCAAGTTTCTCATCTCAATTTCCTCCGTCCCTAAACACTTTATCCAATCCATCTTTTACTCAACATTGTCCTTTATCTACTCCAGTTCCCTCTGTCCATTATGGCCAATTTTATCAACCAGCACCTTCTAATCCTTATGGTGCTTCAACCGTCTCTTATCAATCTACTGGATTTATAAGTTTTGGATGAGGAAGAGGTAAAGGAAATGGTAGAGGCATACCGATTTGTCAACTTTGCAGTAAAATTGGACACACTGCTGTGCAGTGTTATCATCGGTACAATTCCAATTACAATGGTGCCCCTCCTCAATACAACTCAAATAATCATTCCATAGGTGTTGTAAATGGTGCATCTCCATAGTTCAGTTCTACCAATCACTCAATTGGGAATAAATCTTTCAACTCTAGTGAGCAACTTAATGGATCTTTTACCAATCCAAACAATCAAACAATACAGATCCCTTCACAACAATCTCCATAATCGTTACAACCTACCTTTGTCTCTTTCAATACAACACAACCACATGGCAACTATAGTGGCCTTAACCATCAGCAACAACACTTTACCTCACCACCACAAAACCTCACAATTCCAAGCCAGCAGATCACAACACCAACTCAAGCCTACTTTGCCTCTCAACAACCTTCACCATTTAACTCACAGCCTTCATCACATATACCTGTTGCATCAAATTCCTACACAACTGCTGAAGATCCTACCTAGTATATGGACTCCAGGGCTACGGATCATGTCACTTCTGACCTCAATCAGTTGACTGTTAGCAGAAACTATGGCGGAGCTGATCAACTACAAGTAGGCAATGGTGAGTTCCTTGATATCTCACATATTGGCTTTACTTCCTTACCTAGCTTTTTACAATCTAAATGTTTACACTTAAAAAACGTTTTGTGCGTACCTAGAATCACTAAAAATCTACTCAGTATATCTAAGTTCACTAAGGATAATAATGTTGTTGTAGAATTTAACTCTGATTGTTGCATTGTTAAGGACAAACTTTCCAGGGCAGTGTTACTACAGGGAGAACTTAATGCTGGACTGTATCAGTTGAGACTTCCTTCTGTCAATCCTCTACCTTCCTTTGATCAGTCTACTGCACCTCTTAAATGTCAGAGTTTTGTCTCATCAATTAAACCTACCAAAGTAACTTCTACTAAACCTGAGTCTGCTGTTATTAATAATGAGCCTGTAGGAAGTTGTGTTAAAACCTCCAGTCTTGTTTCTTGCAATAATCCTGTGTCTAGTCTTAAGAATAAATCCACATACTGTCTTAAGGTTGGCAGTACCAAAAATAGCAGTAATGAAATAGCTAGTTAATTTGTTTTGAACAATTGTAATTCTGTTGCCTTTAATAAAGATGGTTCTGATTTGACACACTGTACTAGCATCTCTGACATGTCGCTGTTAATGTATCATCAAATACTGCCCATGATAATTGTTTTACTAATCATACTAATGTTGCTAGTAATAATTCTGATATGTTTGATGCATCAGCATGTACTGTCAATATTCCCTTACATACTATCTCTGATTATGGTTCTCATGTATCTGACATTGTAACTTCATCAAATACAAATCATGTTGAAATACACAGAAATCTTCAGTCTGATATAGGTGCATCTGTTTCTAATATTCCTAACTGTGAATCCAGCATCACTGACTATTCATCTCTAGCATTCAAAGCTGTTAGCAACAAAGAAACTGCTTCCTTACTTTGGCACAATCGTCTAGGTCATCCACACTCAATAGTTTTTAATAAAATCATGCATCAAGTGCACTCAAATTCATCACAAACCACTCCAGCCTTATCTTTTTGTGATACTGATAGCGTGCCGAATGCACTAAATTAATTAACCTTACTAACCTAACTACTAAATTGTATATAGGGTAAGCAAGGGTCGATCCCACAGGGAATGATTCGATTAAATCTTATATTCTATGCCAATAGCCACAATGAAAACAACACAATAAAACCCTAAACAGTGAACAAGACAACACAACAGAGTAATGAAAGGGGTTTGTAATCAAGGCAAACTAAAGTAAAACAAACAATGGTAGAAAATATCATATTAAAAGCAATCAGTTCTCGGTTCAAGATCCACCTAAACATGCATTGGACATGAACTAACCGTAACACTGTTCTATCTCGTTATTATGGAACTACTGACCCTAGGAAACAACAAGCTCTGTTACCCGAATTCTCCCTTAATCATCACTACTGAAATAAGCTCTTCAAGTAGATCCTAACCCTCGAACAACCTAGAATAAGCTCTCTAAGTTTAATTCAATGGCAGCCTTAAGAATTAGGAAAATAGATCAATCTAAGCAGCAATCACACAAGCTCGGATTATTTAACTTAGGTTATGTTATTCAAGATGACAGAATGAAAACTTGTCCATAATCATCTATCATCATGTGTTACCCATTGAATAGAAAAAGGACAATTACGGATCACAATTCCTAATTCTAACAGATAAAAGTCTAATTAACAATTCATAGGCCTTACTAAATCACCCAAACAGAAAATTATAAACAATTAAAATAGATAACATAAACAATTCCAATAAAAACGAGATTAAGAATAATGTTACTGAAGTTAGGTTACACCAATAACATGAATTAGGCTTTAAAATCCCTTGAACTGAAAAAGAAAGACCGCCTCACATCTTGACGTAGAAAGTAAAAGAAAACCGAAAACTAAAAACTACTGCTGTTCTTTCCCCCTCTTTTTAACCAACAAATCATTAATAAATAACATGTGTTTTCCTTAATTCTACCCCAAGAATCATGGAATTTCTTTCCTAGACGTTTCCTGAAGATAGACTTCCAGATTTGTCAAAATCTTATCAGATATGGAAAATAGAATTCGTCTCCAGTTTTGCACCAGTTCTCGCAATGTAAAAGATCTTTTCTGGGCTTGGTCACTTCGTAAAAATTGTATTCCAATGTTTGATGAATCTGGGCTTTTGAATCACCCACTTTCGATATCTGATCTCAGTTAGGCCCGTTCGAAGATTCAATACTCAGCCCGGAAATCCTTCCTCACTAGGATTCCAGGTCCGGTTTTGCAACAACTGATGAAGACCCAAACAAACTCATTCTCGCCCATAATACCTTCTTGGAAAGTTTGATTTGTCAACTTTACTTTTTCTGAAGAACACTTTTGCAATCAAGAAATCTAACTCCATGAAAAACCTGAAAAACGCGCACTGGTCAGAATAACAAAATATGGAATTTCCTAATCTTTTATCACTTATTTCCTAAAGTCTATCCAACTATGCCAAACTCACAAATAACTCTAATCACTCAAATAGACATAAAACATAACAAAAACATAATATGCAAGGAATAAAAATATGTAAATTACACTCTTATCAGATGGCCTGCCAACTTGGCAAAGTACATAGAAACCATTTTCCTATCTCTGACTCTAGGGCCACTAAACCATTAGAATTGATTCATAGTGATATATGGGGTCCAGCTCCAATTGCATCTTTAGAAGGGTTCAAATACTATATCCATTTCCTAGACGATTATAGTCGATTTACATGGTTATTTCCCTTAAGAACCAAGGCTGAAGTGCAATCTGTCTTTATCAAATTCCATCACTTAGCCGAAAGACAGTTTCAACATAAAATCCATTGTTTACAATCTGATCAAGGGGGTGAGTATAGAGGTTTAGTGCCTTACTTAACAAAATTAGGAATCCAGTTTAGGTATTCGTGTGCTCATGTGCATCAACAAAATAGACGTAGTGAAAGGAAGCATAGACACTTAGTAGAGACAGGTTTAACTTTGTTAGCACATGCATCCATGCCTATGCATCTCTGGTGGTTTGCATTTGACACCGCTGCTTTTCTAATAAATAGAATGCCTACTGCTGTTTTGGATTTTATTTCACCATATTAGGTGCTGTTTGGTAGACCACCCCTATACAATTCTTTAAAGGTTTTTGGGTCAGCTTGTTTCCCTTATTTGAGAGATTATAATCAACATAAACTTAGCTTTCACTCTTCAAAGTGTGTGTTTGTAGGATACAAACTAATTCACAAAGGTTATAAGTGTCTAAGTGCCAAAGGAAAAATTTACATTACTCCTAATGTTAAATTTCATGAAATAGAGTTTCCTTTTAAATCTGGTTTTGGTCAGCCTAATACTTCAGCCCCTAGAGAATCATATTTCAAAGAGTCACACACTCATTTTCCTTATTCCAAAGTTCAACCACCTGATGTATCCAGCAAAAACTCTCCAGCAGAATGCTCTCAAGATAGTCCTCATTCAACAGTTGGAGTATCAAATTCTACCTCACCATTATCATCCTATAAGTCTGACCTTGCTCCTGAAAATATCTCCAATTTACCTACTGATTCCTCTCCAAACTCTTTAAACGCAGCACCTGATTCATCTAAACCAGTGTCCAATCCTCAAAATCCCTCTCTTGAACTAATACCTTCTCCCTATAAGCAAACTGATTCCAAACTCTCAAACCATACACTTGTAATAGATCTAACCTCTTATCCACCTCTTCATCCTCCTGTCACTTCTCAATCATCCTCTAATCAAGATCTTACTCACTGCCAACTTGTAGTTGACTTGGCACCCTCACAGTTTCTCACTACATCAACTGATCAGCCTCCAAATACAAACACATATCCCATGTTAACAAGGTCCAAAACCAATTCTTCTGTGACCCTCAACCATTCAGGAAAAACTGCACTTATTTTATCTGGTAACACCTCTATCCTCCCTGAACCTTGTTTTGTGAAAGAGGCATTAGCTACTGCTGAATGGAAAGAAGCTATGCAAATGGAATTTGATGCACTAATGAAAAACAACACCTGGATTTTGGTACCAAGAACTAATGACATGCATGTAGTTTGGAATAAATGGGTGTTTAGGACCAAGTTTCATGCTGATGGTTCTTTGCAAAAATACAAAGCTAGATTGGCTGCTAAAGGGTTTCAACAAACACCCGGGTTGGATTACTTTGAAACATTTAGTCCTGTAGTTAAACCTTCCACCATTAGCATCATTCTCACCCTTGCTATAACTAATGGTTGGGATATCCAACAAGTGGACATGAACAATGCATTTCTTAATGGTACTTTGAATGAAGTTGTCTACATGCAGCAACCTGATGGATTTGAAAATGTTGTTGTTCCCTCTTATGTTTGCAAATTAAATAAGGCTTTCTATGGCCTAAAACAAGCCCTTAGAGCCTGGTTTGACAAGCTGAAGTTTGCATTTATTGCCAAAGGATTTCATAATTCTATTTATGATTCTAGTTTGTTCATTTGTAAAAATTCTGGTCATGTTACATATATTCTTATATATGTGGATGACATTTTGATTACTGGATCCAACTCTTCATCCATACATCAGCTTGTTTAAGAATTGAATGATCAATTTGCTTTAAAGACACTTGGTTCCATCAAATACTTCTTGGGGTTAGAAGCTACAAGAACACCTGATGGTATTCACTTAAAACAGACTAAGTATATTGTTGATCTACTTGTCAAGACACAAATGCAAGATTTTCTTGCATGTTCAACTCCAATGACTGTTGGTATCAAACTCTATTTTACAGACAACCCTTTGTTCAAAGACCCTAGTCTCTATAGGAGCACCATATGAGCCCTTCAATACCTTACCCTTACTAGACCCAATATAAGATTTGTAGTAAACAAACTAAGTCAGTATCTTCAAGCTCCTACTGAGCTTCAATGGCAGGCTTGCAAAAGGGTTTTAAGGTATATAAAAGGCACTCAGTACTATGGATTACAGTTTAGACCAGCAGCATCTCTTAGCATTGAATGTTATGCTGATGCGGATTGGGATAGTAATTTGGATGACCGAAGGTCTACAAGTGGGTATTGTGTGTTCTTTGGTCCTAATCTAATTCAGTGGAGCTCAAGAAAACAGAAGGTGGTTGCTCTTTCATCAACTGAAGCTGAGTATAGGGTATTAGCTAACACAGCCATTGAAATTGCATGGCTACAGAGCATGTTTTTAGAGTTAGGATTAAACCTGAAAATTCCTCCTGTTATTTGGTGTGATAATGTGAGTGCAGGTACTCTTGCTGCAAATCCTATTTTTCATGCACGAACCAAACACATTGAAATTGATGTTCACTACATCAGGGATCAAGTTCTTGCAAAGAAGATTGCAGTTCAGTATGTACCATCTCAGCTACAAATAGCAGATGTGCTAACCAAGGCCCTGTCAGTAACTCAATTTCAAGAACTGAGACAGAAATTGAATGTTCTTGCCATGCCTGTTGTTGGTTTAGAAATCACTACAGCAGATTAGTTGTAATGGTGTTGTTAAATGAAGATTTTTTTATGGAGTTTTGATGTGGTAATGCAGGAGCAGAAGTAGTGCAGTAGCTTAGAGCTTTGATGTAGTGATGCAGAAGTAGTGCAGCAGATTACTTGTTGTGATATTGTTAATGCAATATTTTTATGCAGCTTTGATGTGGTGATGTAGAAGTAGTGCAACAGATTACTTGTTGTGGTGTTGTTAATGCAGAATCTTTATGAAGTTTTGGATTGATGCAGAATTTTTGATGATGTAGCAAAATTTTTTATGATGTAGAAGTAATGTAGCAGGTCAGCTGTTATGGAGTTGTGAATGCAGTCTTTATGCAGTTTTGGTGGTGCAGAAAAATAATGCAGTAGATAAGAAGTAATGCGGGGAGTTGTTAATGCAGTTTTTATGCAGTTTTGGTGGTGCAGAAAAATAATGCTTATGCAGTTTTGGTGGTGCAGAAAAGTAATGCTAAGGCAGAAGTAATGCAGGGAGTTGTTAATGCAGTTTTTATGCAGTTTTGGTGGTGCAGAAAAATAATGCTAATGCAGTTTTTTATGCAGTTTTGGTGGTGCAGAAAAATAATGCTAATGCAGTTTTTATGCAGTTTTGGTGGTGCATAAAAATAATGTAGCAAATCAGTAGTGTTGATAATGCAGATTTTGTTTTTGGAGATTTTATGCAGTTTTGTTGGTGCAGAAGTAATGCAGCTGATCAGTAGTGTTGATAATGCAGATTTTGTTTTTGGAGATTTTAGGCAGTTTTGTTGATATAGAAGTAATGCAGCAGATTAGTAGTGTTGATAATGCAGATTCTGATAGAAAGCAGAATCAGTTTTTTTGCGGGGAAATGCTGAAGATATAATGGAGAAGAGAAGCAGCTTAGTTTGAGGGCAAATGTTGACCAAAGATTCATGGTGCTAACTGCAAGTTCTCAAAATGTGAGGACCTGACATAATTTCACAAACGATGTCGTTTCACTTTAGTTGTAAAAGTCGTCTTCTCAAAACGATTATTCAGTGTATGAGCTGTTGTAACTTCACTCTTCTTCGCTCACTCTCTCACTTATTTTCTTCAAGTATATAAGCAGCCACAAAGTATTGTAACTAGTTAATCAATCAAATACAAAGAATTATTCAGCTTAGAATCAAGTTTTATCTTTCTTTTCTTTCAATTTCACAATGTCTATAGAGGATTTAAGGGTCCATTGTCAAGCCTTGCATTGGCTATAGGATTTTCTCTTTTAGCTATCAAGTATAGCGCAGGGGATGATATTCCATTCATGTTGACTCCAAGAGAACTCTTGTTTGGGATGATGGGATTTCTTGCATGTAAAGTCGCAGTCGTGTTGGCTGCGTTCAAGCCTGTGCCAGTGAATTTAAAGGAGAACAGATGATACATTTCTCGTTCCATCTGCCGCAAAGAAAGAGAGGTTTGAGCATTGTGAGATTGGTTTAGACCTTTGATTTTAAAAAAAATACTCAGCTGTAGATACTTTGTAAAAAATTTATACATGATCTGCATACTTGCAAAAGAAATGACCTGACAGTGTTAATCCTTTATAAGCTTGATCAATGAGCTATATTTTCTTTTTGATTCTAGCCTTTAAATTCAATGCCCTTTACAAGAAAAAAAGCTATATACGACGGTAAGTTGAAAAAAACTTATTTCCAGTGCCTCTTGCAGCGGAAATGAAATCTCGTTGTAGACGTGTATACTATTCATATCAAGAGTAACAGATTTACAGCAGTACTCAACCAACGAAAAAGGGTTGTTTTTATTTTTTTAATTTTTTTTATAGTAACGTTATATAGATGTGGAGACAATTGAGTAGAACCAAAGGGCAATTGGAAGAGCATATGAAGTTGGTGCTATTAAAGTCAATTGTATTGTAACTAATCCAGTAATGTGTTAATCAGGTTATATATGTAATTATATATACTTTTATTCTTAAAAATATCAAGAAATTTGCAGGAGAAAATGATTGTATATTATTCTCAATTGCCGACGCCCACTTTAGAAATAGCTAGAGAATTTTTTCTAGCTTTAACATCCGCAAAATCATTGACATACAATAAATCTGAAAGTTTGATAACATGAATCGAATTTTAAAAAAAAAAATTATTCATCGTTTTACAATTTACATAACAAAATATGTTTTTGTACTTATGTGGCTGACCACAAATTACGCAGCTTAACCTTTGTTTTTCTAGCACAACTCAATTAAGGCAAAATAAAATATTATAGGAGCGTAGGACTTAATAACACTCACACCATATATATATATATTGAAACTATCAATTAAGTAAGAGTTCTAGTGGTTACCCTTAATCGTTACTGAGCAGGGATTCGAACTCATGATCTATTGAATAATATATCTAAGAGTCTTTATTGAACCACTCAAACACCCAAATTCAGCTTTGCAAATGAACTTTTCATCTTACTTGAAGATCTATAACAATTTAAAATGTAAATTGGGTATGAATTAATGGCATCATTCAGTCATAGTTATGTAATAATGGGGCTCATAAATTAGCTCACAGACTCACAGTCCATAGCACCCTGTATATATATATATTATCATAATTTTCTTATATATTGTGATGATCATATATATGAAATATATATTATGTGACGAACTTGCTGCAAATAAAAAAGAAGGAGGTTGGAGTAGAAATAATTATCCGAGAAGAAAATTTCAGGTCACTGATACGTGATCTGAAACATCTTCAATTATTGATACATAAATACTTGAAATAAAAAAACCATATATTATTATTCAACCCATGCACAACGAATCGAATCATTCATAAATCAATGAATGATTTAACGGCACTATTCTTTTGGGCACTTGTAGTAAGCAGGGACTTTGCAATCGATCTTACAGGTCTTGAGGATTGAGTTCAAAGTATAAGTAATCTTATCCTTGTGTTTATCAGGAACAGCCTTGCAAAGGCATGAAGCAGCTTCACTTTCATCTACCTCTTTAAGGTACTTGCAGCAACCTTGGCAGTCCTTATCTGATATTATACCCAGGGCCACCTTCATCAATGTCTCACCACAATGGAAATGTGCTCCAATTTTGCTGCATTGCTTATGCTTCTTCTCTTTCTCTGCTGATGTGGAAGGAACAGAAAATAGCAACAAAGCCAAAAAGAGAAGTAATGCCAAAGCAACTCCCTTCGATGAAGCCATTAATTTTTCAACTAAAGCTCTGATAATATTAGGATTTCGAAAGTTTAATTTGTGAAGAATATGGAACCATGAGGGTATTTATAAGAGGAAACTTCATGTTTTATGGAATATAATATTGTTTCATGCAGATCATGCATCTGTTAAAATATAATTTGTAGATGAATTAATTAATGCATGGTTTAACATAACATTTACTACAATTATGTTATATAAAACTAATAAAAAAAATTTGGTCCAAGAATTTTTTCTTTTTTCAAATGGTCATAGCTGGTTGCTGAAAAATAAGATTAATAATCTCAAATATAAGCACCATGATCCTAGAATCTGGGATTCATCATGAAGCAGAATTACCAGAGATAATAATTAATTTGATTTCATTTGATTTGATTCTTCGGGAGAAAAAAGGGTTTCTATTTACAAGGTTCAATTATATCTGGAGATGATGAGATACAAGTTCTAATTGTGTCATGTCGAGTTAGGCTGAAGTTTATGATTAATTAAGAATCTAAACATGTTGTGTCATGTTGATGTGATTAACCAAGAATAAAGTTTATGATTAATGGAGAATGTAAACATGTTGGTTTGATTAATTAACAATAATAATTGATAAGTGAGAAGTTACAACATGACACTTTACTCTTAGGTGTGTTTGATTGGGGGTTATATGAGATTACCGATATAATGTCATCTTATATTACTTGATTACCACGTTTAGTTGTTTAGTTGTCAAGTAATATAAGATTTTGGTAATCTTCCAAAACTAATAATAATTACTGTTGGTAATATAAGAGGTAATTTGATTACCTCCACTTTCTTAGATAGTTTAAGATTACTTGATAATTTTAGTTTTGTTACAATTTTACCCTAAACTATTAAAATTTTTGGATAGTAATACTCTTCTTTTGAAAAAAAATTAAGGACTATTTTATCCTTATATAAAAAAATTTTAAGATGAAAATACCCATGAAATTGAAAAATATTACACATGACTAGTGGCCAAATTTGGCCACTCGGTTGCCGACTGTTGGATGACGTCGTCGGAACGATGCACAGTTGGTTGGATTTGGTCGATCGTGCACCGATATAGCTATTTCCAGTCACAGGCTTGTAGTTGTCATTAACGACCAGAGTTCTAGTCGTCATTGACGGCTAGAACTCTGGTCGTTAATGACAACTACAAGCCTGTGACTGGAAATAATGACGGCCAGAAGGCCCTATCGGCGTACGACTAGCTAGATCTGGCTGGTCGTGCGCTGTTATGTCCACTGCCCTTGCCACCGGCAGTTGTGGCAGGTGGCCCGACAATGGCTTGGGGAGGGTCGGGGTGATTTGGTTGGAAAATAAATTTTTTTGTGGTTGGGGTGTTTTAGTAATATCTCAAACATAGGGGGTTAAAATTTTTTCTTCAAAAAATAATATTATATTAATATTTTAAAAGGAGGGCAATTTTGTAATCTATGTAACATATCGACCAATTTATTATTCCCAACAAATATATCAATATAACATACCCACCAATTTATTATAACCAATCAAACACATTTTCCTAAACATTCAAAGTAATCTTTTAGGTAATCTAACTTTTCGTTAATATAATATTTTCAGTAATACAACTTTCCATAAACCAAACACACCCTTAGAATATTTTTACTCTGGGAAATGGTGGATTAGGATTAGGATTAAGGTTCCAAGGCTAGTAAATCTATATTCCATTCTCATTATAAAATATAAATATGAAAATTACTTTTCTGATCTTATTTCGAATTTAAATTTTCTATTTTCACCTTTAAAAAATATATTTAAATGTTAATTATTTTGTAATTTAAAAATTATTTAATTAAAATATTGAAAAAATTAGGTTATTTTTCTAATGGTCGACACCGAAGTTCTCTTTAAAAAAAGATTAATTGAGATGCATGTAAAGCTGGTCTAGACACCTTGATCATTAAAAAAAAAAGAGAAATTCTCCTTAAGTTGTCATCATCAATGTGTAGAAGACAATAAGATGATAATCAAATCTTCTATGTAACACCCATATCAAGGTACGTAATTTTATTTATGCCTTAATATCCTTAGTTGGATTTCTTTGAAGTTACCTTAGATAAATGTAAAGAAAATTCCTTAACCCTTCATTAAGGGTAAAATGGTCTTTTCACTCATAATTAGTTGAAGAAGTGGGGAGTGAAAAGAAGTAGAATAACATGGAGAAGTTAATAAAAATGAGGGCATTCTTGTAATTGACTGAGGGACATAGATAGAATTTTTAGAAAGTGCAAGGGTAAAATGGAAAACTATATATATAATAAGAGTTCAAGAGGAGAAACCCCACTCTACCCCTCCATTCACACCATTCTCTCAAATTTCTTCACTAGATTTCCAAGGAAATTCATAGGATTTTGGCTAGATTTTGATAGATTTTCAATCATAAGCATCCAAAGGTAAGATTCTTGCACCAAGAAGTGAGATTAAATTTTAAAGTCTTGAATTCTTATGGTTGTATATGCTTAGGGTTTAGGAGGAAAGGGAATTCTACCAAAGAGAGATTATAGTGTTGGAGTTGCTCAAATTCAAGGTAAGTAAATCCATCTTTAGCCTTGATTTAATCACAAGTTGTGTAGAGAAATTTATTTTATGTTGTATATGTGTTTGAATGATGAGTAGAGAATTGATTTATTAGTATGGGATGAGAATTGATTTATTAATATGTGATGAGAATTGATGTATTTGTGTGTGTTGAGTTGATGGAATTTTGGATGAAAAATGAAAGTATGGATGTGGAAAGGTGGAGGATGAATTTCAGCTAGGTTGATGGTTGGCTTTAGGGAGTTCTTACTCCTATTTTGGTGGCTTGAGAAAGATGTGAAAGTGTAGCCAACTTAGTATTTGCATGTGCATATAAATTGTTTGATGAAAATCCTAAGAGAAAACTTGTTACCATGGCCGCCCTGTCAAATCCATGGCCTTTTAAGTGATATTTGAGCATCTTACATATTGATGTGGGTTGAGACCTAAACATAAACGTTGTAGCCCTTTCTCTAATCTTTAAAATAGACCAAGATCATAGCAATCTGATGTGTATAACTCAAGATATGCCTCCTTAAATATGACCTTTGCAGAATGACTACATCAAAAGTGCTTATAATTTATTAGTTTATTTTTAGTCTAATAATCTATGATTGATTTCAAGTATGGGACTATTTTTGGTAGAGAATACTGGTTCCCTAATTATATCTTTATATGCCATAATGCATTCTCACATTCTCACATTTCCATTTAGAAAGAATAGCAAAGAATGAGCATATTTCCATGCACATACACATGTATGAGGACATTAAAGAATAAAGAGAAAGAAAGTAAATAAATAAATTGTAGAATCATCCTCTAAAGAATATAATTAAAGAATAATTCAAATCTGAAATTTTATTAAAAGAAATGTAAAAAGATAAGAGAAGAGAAGGTTGTCACGATGGGGAACCCGTGAGTGACTGAGAAGAAGAATAGCCCACATGATCGCCGCCTTTAGTGAGCGGCCTCAGAATAAGAAAGAAGAATTTGTACAATCTATTAGAAATGCATGTGGACGAGGACTGTACCCAACAAAGCATAGCTACATGCACGCCACCTTTAGTGAGCGGCCTCAGAATAAGAGAGAAGAATTTGTACAGTTTGTTACAAGTGCATGTAGATGAGGACTGTACCCACTAATGGTGGAAAATTGACCCGCCCGGCCCGACTCGACCCACAGCGAGTCACTGAATTTGGCGGGTCGGGCCTAACCTGCCCGCCAACAAAGGCAGGCTAGGTTAGGCCCGCCATTTCTTGGAGATTGGCTGGCCCAGCCCGGCCCGCCAACCCTAACCCGCCGGGTTAGGCTGCGGGCTGGGCCGGGTTACCCCCCCTTTTTTTTTTTTTAATTTAATTTTGTTTGTTTAGTTAACTTTTCAAATGAATAATTTATAATTTATAAATGAATAAATGTAATTCTTTTCAGTTAACTTTTCAAATATCAATAATTTAATTAAATTAATTTTTTTTTTTTTGTTAACATTTCAAATATTAATTTAATTTTAATACAATAAAATTGTAATATAAGAAAAATTAGATTTATTCATTTATCAAAAAATAAAATAAGAAATTACAACAATTATTGCCTCGTTAAAAACGTCACCAAGAAAAACCCAATGGGACAAAAACTTAGTAAAGAAAAAAGAGTGCAATAATTGACAATTAATTTACAAGTTACAATTTACAAAACAACTAATTTGGGGGTGGTTGACTAGGACCTCCCTCATCCATATCATCTACATTACAAAATTGAAATGATTCCATTAAAGTATCATCGACAACCTCGTACTGATCTTGATGGCTCGACCGTTCCCAATCTCGAAGACATGTGAGGACTTTAATCATTTTTAGAGAAAGTTTAGTCCTCATTTCATTTAAAATTCTTCCACTTGCACTAAATGTTTGTTCGGATGAGACGATTGAGACAGGAATAGCGAAAACATCCAAGGCAAGTCTTGATAATACCGGAAAAATACATTTTCTGGCTTTCCAATATTCTAAGACATCAAAGTTGGCTCTCTGTTGTGGATCTGCTGGTAACATTTCGGGGGTTGCCAAATATTGATGAAGCTCATTACTCTCTGACTACATGGAGGACAGTATATTAGTTGTTGTTGTTGGTGGTGGTGTTTCTGAAGGGGAGGCTGTGCTTCGGATTCTGGTCCTCTTCAGCCTATTCAGTGCATTCCAAGAGTAGAAGTCTTCATTTGTTTCTTCTGATGCAACTTCCCTGGATATTTCGCTTCTTTGCGGGGTCCCATACCTGTTTTCATATTGGAAATATACATTTACAAGAGAATTTGTGACCTCTCCTATTTGATTGGCATATGCTTCGGTTTGTAAATTTTCACATAAATTGTCAAAACCATTTTCTAAACCTGCTAATTTAATTCTAGGATCCAATACAACACCGAAACAATAAAGAAAATGAATGG